ATCGAACCCGGGCCGCACGCATGTCAGGCGAGCGCGCTACCGCTTGAGCCACATCCCCAGCCCCAACCCCCAGTCCTTTTTATTTATTTTGAGATAGGGTCTTGCTAAGTTGCTGAGGCTGACCTTGAACTTGTGTTCCTCCTGCCTCAGCCTCTTGAGTTGCTGGGATTATAGGCATGTATTGCCACACCCAGAGAGGATCAATTATTGGTTGTATTGTACAGCTGTGAAAAGTGAGGTCCAAAAAGCTAAAATTCCTTGCCCCAGGTCACTCAGATAAATAAAGGAAGAAACCAAGATCCATCCCCAGGACCACTGGGCTCCAAAAGCCCAATTTTTTACCCCAAGCTACCCTGTTTCTCATACCCTGTGGTCATCACATGTTCTTTGTCCTGCTGTGGCAGAAGGGTGATGATCTGCAAAAGGTTTGAGGAGAAAGGAGTTGGACCTTAAGAATTTTCTGACTTTTGCCCAGTGCTTTCTATGGCCAAAGACCCTGAGTGTGGTAGACTGGAACCTTTGGAGTAGGGGACCAGGGACCAAGGGACCAGGGAAGCTGGGTCAGTTTCTCTGGGAAACATCAAATGCTAACCTGTCCTTCTCTGCATTTATAGAAACCCTACTGAGTTTCCCACCCTGTGCTTGGTTCTAGAGACAGGATGGTCCTGGGCAGGGAAACAAATCTCTTGTAGTTCAACATGGTTACTGCCATCTATAGAAGAGACTCAGTGGGAGCACAGAGGACGGAGTGGTAACCAACCCCCAAGACTGGACCAAGGCCCAAGGAGGCTGCTTAGCAGACATGATGCTTGAGCTGATTGTTAGGGAAATATGCACACATTTTCTTGTAGCATATGTAGAGGGCTGCACTGTGTGTGTGTGTGTGTGTGTCTGGAGATTGAACCCAGGGCCTTACATATGCTGGGCAAGTTGCCTACCACTGAGTTACACCCCTAGCTCTGTGTGTATGTGTGTTGGCATCTTGGCAGTATGTTAGCTTTTTGTTACTGTGATAAGATAAATATCTGAGAAAGATAATTTAGAGGAGGAAAAATTTGGCCAAGTGCCAATATACCTGTAATCCTAGTGACTCAGGAAGCTGAGGTAGGAGGACTGTAAGTCAAAGCCAATTGAGAAATTAGTGAAACCCCGACTCAAAATTAAAAAAAAAGGAGAAAAGATTTATTTTGGGTCACAGTTTCAGAGGTTTCAATCCATGGTTGGCTGGTTCCATTGATTTGGGCTTGAAATGAGGCAGAACTTCAGGACAGAAATGCATAGAGGAGGAAAGCTTCTCACCTCATGGCAGCATGAAGCAGAGGGAGGGAGAATAAAGGGGCCAGGGACAAGATATAGTTCCTAAGGACACACCAGCAAGGACCCACTCCCTTCAGTTAGGTCCCACCTCCCAGTAGTCCATTCAGCTTAGACTCATCAATGCACTAGTCTATTGATGAGGTCAGTGTCTTCATGATCCAATCATTCTCCATAGTCCCCACCTCTGAACATTGCTGCACTGGGGACCAAGCTTTCAACATATAATCCTTTGGGGGGTCATTTCAGATCCAAACTAGATGAGATGGGAGCATGATATTAATATGTTTTTAATGCACTGAGTATTTTAATATAAGATATGAGGTTTCAAAATCTGTCTTTCCTCACTCAAGATGCCACCTCTATCCTGCTAAGTTGCTTATCAATTTCTTCTCTCTTTATTCTGTTTCATAGACCTGGAGAGGGAGATGTTATATTGTAGTGGTAAAGTAAGCAGGTTTTGAAGTCGGATTGTCTGGGCTGCACCTCAGTTTCCTCATTTGTTAAACAGAAATAATAATAGAACCTATTTCATATGGTTGCTGTGAAGATTGGATGAGATATGCACTTACAGCACTCACCACAGTGTCTGGCACCTAGAAATCAATTGGTGAATGCTCGCTGTTACCATGATCCCTGTCTGACCACTTCTGTACCAGCAACACAGCAGAGTGCTTTTGCCCAGAATATACCTCTGAGTTGGATGGCTTCTTACTATCTGTTTGACCTTGGGCAATTTACTTGCATTTTATCTTTTCTGTGTCTCCTTGCTCATACATGGGGATGTGAAAATACCGACTGCAGCATGTTGTGAAAATTAAACATGACACTGTTGCACAGGGCATGACACATAATAGCTGCTCAGATGTTTATTTACTACTTCTGATTATTATTATAATCATTTAACTTATTATCTTTTACCCCCCTAGGATTAAACCCAGGGCCTTACACATGCTAAGCAATTGTTCCATCACTGAGCTGCATCACTTATTTTATTTTGTTACCAGGGATTGAACCCAGGGGCACTTAACCACTGAGCCACATCCCCAGCCCTTTTATTTTATCATATTATTTTTGGTACTGGGGATGAATCCAGGGTTGCTTAACCACAAGGCACATTCCCAGCCTTTTTTTTTTTTTTAGAAACAGGATCTCACTGAGTTGGTTAGGGCCTTGCAAAGTTGCCGAGAATGGTGTTTAACTTATGATCCTCCTGCCTCAGCCCCCAGAGATGCTGAGAATATAGGAATGCACCACCATGCCTACCCCCCCACCCCCGCCCTTTTGGCACTGGGGAACTCAACCACTGAAGTCACACCCCAGCCCTATTTTGCATTTTATTTAGAGACAGGGTCTCACTATGTTACTTAGTGCCTTGCTTTTCCTAAGGCTGGCTTTGAACTCCTGATCCTCCTGCCTCAGCCTCAGGGATTACAGGCTGTGAGCCCACACTTTTTTTTTTTTTAATACCTTAAACGATCAAAGATATCAGATAATTCCCCTGTAATTTTTCTTTCTATTTTTTAGATATTTTTTAGTTGTACACAATATCTTTATTTTGTTTATTTATTTTTATGTGGTGTTGAGGGTGGAACCCAGTGTCTCATGTGTGCTAGGTGAGCTTTCTACCACTGAGCCACAACCCCAGCCCCTGTGCGTTTCTTTTAAAAACCATACCCACCAAGCTATAATATATAATACTTACCTAATATATTATAATATATTATACTTACCTAAAGTATTATAATATATATAATACTTACCTCAAGACATCATGGCTAGTTATCAATTCAGGGCTTTCCTGACTCCTTCCCCTCTTCCCTCTCCCCACCTCCTCAAGCCTCTTGGCACTTTGTGTGTGTGCGTGTTTGTGTCTGTGTGTGTGTGTTTTGGTTCTGAGAACAGAACCCAGAGCTTTGTGCACGCTAGGCAAGAACTCTGTCACCTCCTGGTGCTATGGGGCACTCTGGTAATCTCAGCGATCGGGGAGGCTGAGGCAGGAGGATCACAAGTTCAAACCCAGCCCTAAACCTGCAATTTAGGCACTAAGCAACTTGGTGAGAAATTGTCTCAAAATAAAAAATAAAAGGTGGGGATGCGCTCAGTGTTAGCATGCCTGGTTCAATCCCTGGTAACAAAACAAAATAACAATAAAAACTCCAGCATTGGGCTGGGAATGTGGCTCAGGCGGTAGCGTGCTCGTCTGGTATGCGTGCGGCCCGGGTTCGATCCTCAGCACCACATACCAAAAAAAAAAAAAAAAACCTCTACCATTATAGAGTACCAGCTCCATCTTCTTGGCTTTTTTTCTTTTTTTTTTTTTTTTCTAATCTCCAGTCTACCATGGCGCTCAAGAAATGCTTCAGTGAATGAATGAATGCCCTGGGGATCATATTATATTCCCACCTTGTTGCAACGTTTAGGGGTGAGCTCAGTCTTTCTACAAGCCCCACGCCAGCTGGAGCTAAATCCCGGAATAGGGAAGCAGTTCCAGGGACCCAGCCTATAGTCTGCGGAGCAGAAACTGCTAGGAAACCTCGTCTAGCTCCGAGCGCTGCCTGGAACCCACCGGGCGCTGCCCTGAGAACTACAGCTCCCAGCAGGCCGCGCGGTGACGGGGCGGAGCTGCGGAGGACTCCCGGAAGCTGATGGCGGCCAGGACCGCACGGACAGCTGGACGAAGGCGAGAGGTGAGGTTGTACTTTCAGGGCTTAGTGGGGAAGGCGAAGACCGTGGGACCAAGGGGGAATGAGTCTTGAATGTAGGGCATTTTGCGGGTCGGAAGAGACCCCCAACTTTGCTTTCTTTTTCCGCAGTGACCATGACGAAACTAGCTCAGTGGCTTTGGGCATTGGCGCTCCTGGGCTCTGCTTGGGCCGCCCTGACCATGGGAGCTCTGGGCCTGGACCTGCCCTCGCCCTGCCGGGAAGTCCTGTGGCCATTGCCCGCCTACTTGCTGGTGTCTGCAGGCTGCTATGCTCTGGGCACTGTGGGGTATCGCGTGGCCACTTTTCATGACTGCGAGGATGCCGCCCGTGAGCTGCAGAGCCAGATTCAGGAGGCCCGAGCTGATTTAGCCCGCAGGGGGCTACGCTTCTGACACTCTAACCCCATTCCCGCCTGGACAACCCTCCCTCACATTCCCCATTAAAGAGCAAATTTATTTTTTAACTCTTGTTTAGTTTGAGTGTGCAGAATGGGAATTTCGGATGCTGTATACCAGTGGTCGTGAGAAGATGCCTTTCCTGAGGCCATCTCAGCCTTTACCTTTGCATCTGGTTGGTGTTCCGCAGTTTTGCTCAAAAAGAGGCAAAACCCAGAGCTGGGTTGTAGCTCAGTGGTAGAGCGCTTGCTATCCTCAGCTCCATGTAAAAATAAATAAATAAAGGCATTGTGTCCATCTACAAATTAAAAAAAAAAAAAAAAGGCAAAACCCCTTCTCAAGAACTCTCCAAATATAAATGTTATTTTCCTGGTCTCTTTAACAGGAAACACATCTTAAGCCTAACTTCCATTCTTTATAACTTCCAAGCTTTGGTTTTTAAGGCCTTCCTGGGTTTTTCCAACCTCTTGGTTCTTCCAGATACTTTTTCTGAGGCAAACTTACCAGCCTGAGATAACTGGGTTGTCTACCCTCCACCAAACTAGACAGGTTTAGAATCATGAATAAAGAATAAGCCATGATGGGCAGGGGTGGGGAACAGTTTATTTTAAGGCACATTCTAAAGATAAAACCCCAACCTTCATAATTACAAAAGATAATCTCTTAAAAAAAGAAGTGATTTCATCTCTTAGGTCCCACCTGATCTAAGTAAAGCTCTTTCTTTGATCCCTCTAATCTCAAAGTCCTCTTTCCCACAATGTATTGCACCCATGAACTGGGCTCCAGGACCAGCCAAAACAAGGAGCGCGCTTTGGTATCAAGTTGGCACTAAGGTGCCCAGTGGTCAGGTGAACTGCCTCAGGTTTGCAGGAGTTGATAGTTTCTGTCTTGCTTCTGGGGGTACTTCCAGAAAAGCCAGAGGCGGATAAAGCTGGTAAGGATTCCTGGAAGGTTGGGCACCTGAAATCAAAGGGCTGCTATGAGGCGGGAGCCAGTTTTTCACTGTACAAACTTGTCACCCCCTCCGTATTCTGCTTACCATGATGTAAGGATCTTTGAGCCGAAACCCATAGAGGGACCAGGAGGAGGAGGTAAGGAGGGTGGCAATGGTGAGTGAGAAGGAGAGACACTGGGTTGATTTAGTGCGAATAACTTTGGCCTGTGGGAAAGGGTGAAAGACACTCCTGGTCTAGGTATATAGTCAAGCTCCCATCTTGTCCAAGAATTTCCTCAGGAAAAAGGTCAAACACCTTTCCTGATGTCACCAGTCCTCTCCTGCCTCTCCCACTCCCCCTTCTACTGCCTTGACTCTTTCCAGGGTTGTATCTTCCTTTCCTCTGGAGTATAGCCACAGTCTCTGGCTATGGGAGCTTGGTCCTTCTTATCTATCCTACCTCCTGGACACCCCCACTCACCAAATCAGCCAGTGGTGAGAGGTACATGCTGATGGTGAAGACACTGCAGAAGAGGCCCAGCTGTTGCAGCTGGGCCTCCTGGTTAGGCACCAGGAGCCAAAAGTAGCCATAACCCATGAGAAGGACCCCCAGCAGGGTTGCAGTCTGTAGGAGCACAGCACGCTGCAGGTGAAAAAGAGGAGTCTTATTTCCAAATGTGTGGGAGCACTCTGACTTCCTGTTGGAATGACTTTATCCTGCCCTCTCCCATACTCCAGTGGGGAAAGTAATCTTTGTTGCAACCTCTAGTATTACGCTTGTCACAGCCTGTCTCCCATCAGTGACTTGAAGGAGATGTCTTATCCACACAACACTCCTTCTAGGGAAGGGAAGGTATCTTTTTCTGCGAGCTTGGCACACACAGTAGGAGCTTAATAAATGCTTGTGTGATTGGGGAAGATGAGCTCACCATCTCATCCTCAGGCACTGGCCCTGAAGGAGCTCTCAAGAAACAGAAGCCCTTTCTCAGTCTGTTGGGTGGAAGCTCAGGGCACCACTACCAGCCTTGCCAGAATGGGGGGCAATGTGTGAGTCCAGGAAGACTACCTTCATGGAAGAACTGCAAGGCTGGAAGGAGGACCTTCTAGGAAAAGGTGGCAGTGCCAACCTGTTATAGTCTTCTAGGAAGTAGTGTTTGCACTGCCAGCAAGGCAGGGCGTGCACTAGGAAGGTGGGACCCAGGGAGGGCTTTGTACCTTCTGAGGGCTGAAGTGAAGATACACCAAGATATACAGGGTCTGAAGCACAGCACCTATGGCGTTGACCACGATGAGGGTCCCGTCTCCCTTCAAGACCCCGTAACTCAGCCAGCTCAGGTTGCTGCAGGGCGGAGGGGAGGGATACGGCCCGCGGGGTTGAGTGTAGAAGGGTGTCCCCTGGGGCTTTTCCGCGTCCTCCAGCCCTTCCCCCGTCTGCCTCAAGACAGCCTTTCCCAACGCAGCCGTCGCCCCTCTCACTTGATATCCGTGGTGAGAAAGGGCAGGAACTGGACGCTGTCCACGCTCCGGGTCATCTGCATATGTTTGAGGTCCGAGCTGTAAGGGGGTCCCGAAGGGAGGGATGAAGGGTGGGTGGGAGATGCCCAGTACTCACGACCCTCCCCAAGGCCCGCAGGCCGCCCCTCCCTCAGGCTTGCGAACAGCCTCGCCCTTGCACCCCGGTCCCCTCAACCGGATTCCACATTGACCCCGAGTTCCGGACGCAGCCCCGGCTACGGCCACGTCCCTGCCCACTCTCTCCTTTCCTGACTTCCTGGTCCTGCCCCAGTCCGGCCCGGCCGCGCTCTCACAGGCCGGTGGAGAACATGCCGAGGGTGAAGAGCACGCAAGCTCCGGAAAGGAGCGTGTCGGCCGCGCCGCCCGGCCCCATGCAGCCGGAGTCGGA